AGATCGGTTAAACATGAAATGACCGTATCTAATTACATCGTTATATTATTCTATATTTAAATTATTACAGCAGTATAAGATATAATTATTAATTCTTAAAATTATTCAATAATTTTAAGAGTCATAGAAAGCAAAGAAATATAATAAATTAGGAAGTTAACAAATCCATAGGTCTGCCTTCCTGCTAAACTACTGAATAAGATTTTCTCAAGAAAATTTACTAAAAATAAATACAATGTCATTCCTATTCAAGGAATAGACACTATCAGTAAATTCATCAGAAATTGACTTTGATGGCCTTTCCATTTTCAGATTAATTCATCATTTTCCTGAGACACATCAATTACCACTCTGTCACATTAACTTTCTGAAAATGACCCATTATGTGACCTGAATGGAGGCATTCAGCTGCCAGAATGATTTAAGAAAACAAGCTTCTAGAGCATTTCACAAGAGGCATATTGACTAGCTCATGGGGCTTTACCCAGTAGAATACTGACCACTTTTTCCAATAACTTTTTACTTTAAAAGGCTTAATTTGCAATGAAAAACACATGATCTGCATAACAACAGAAATAAGACTTTACAGGACAAGAACCGGTGCCATGCGTTGAGTAAGGAAATCCTCATTTATAGGGTGGCTATCATGTCAGAAAAAATGGTGGGGAGTTGCCATTCTACTTTTCTCCATTGCAGTGAAATCAGGACCCCTTCTGATGAACAGTGGCTTATTTATGTTTGTCCCCTTTTCTAGTTATTTTGTTCTGTCTTCTCACTTTGTAGTGAGCACAAACTCCACTTGTCCCTTCCTTTCCTTTCATGTGCCTCATCTCATTCTCTGTTCATAGAGTAAACCAAGGGAGGACAAGGCGGGGACTGGGAGAAAAGCTCAGAAAGAGGTTAGGATTCATGAAATCCTTACAGTGTTAAGTTTTCTTCTCTCCAAGCCCCAAGGAAGATGTCCTTTCTTAACCCCAAATTATCCTTCTTCGTGAAACTCCATTCTCTTTGTGCCTCCCCTAGGCACAGACCTGCCTCCCACGTGTTAAAGAAAATAACTGTTCATACTGATTTCTGGCGTCCAGTTCTCCCTCTCTCTATACTCGTCCACAGAAAGTCATCCACCCTCGACTCTCCAGTACCAACATTCATTACTTACTACATATACTGCAACTTTTTACTTGACAAATCCCTTCATTAAAAGAAATTCATTTCCTGACTGTTTTTGAGAGCCTATTATGAGTGGATATGCACTGAGTTGTAGGGATACACAGGTCAGCAAAAGGTACACAACGTTTCATGAGACTCCTAGTCACATGAACAGAGATATTCACCAAAATATCTAACAAATAATTGCAAAAACTTCAAGACCTGTCTGATCTAGTCAGGTAGGTCAGAAATGGCTTTTCTGGGAAAGTAAAACCCTAGTTAATATCTGAAGAATAAATATACCTGAAGAAGGCAAAGGGGAGAGGGGAAGCGTGTAGCAGGCTACGTGGGAAGGGCCCCCAGAACACGAGCTGGATAAAGGTCTTCAAACAGGTGAACGGGTTCTGCAGGGCACCTAGGTCAGAAGAACATGTTTTCTGCTCTATAAAACATAGTGCCAGCTGTACTTCAGATGTGTTCTGTTGAGGTTAATGTGCAGTTATTTCATGTAACTATCTGGTTTGTATTTAGTGAAAGGGCCTATATGTATACAGAGGTTGTCAAAGGGAGAAAATTGTTTGAACCTTGGCCAGTATGAAGTGCAGGACTGAGAGAGACCGGAAGCTCTGCTGCTCTTGGAATTCCCATTTTTGTACAGTTGTAGTGTTGCCCAAATGCTCACATCTATTTAAGTTCATTGTTGGCTTAACTGATAGGTGTGTGAGCTTAATCATCTCAGCGACATCTGGTGATGGAAGAAATGTATATAGGAAATGAAATTACTCTCCCAGAAAGAGACATCAATGCAAAACTCCTACAGCAGAAGAAAGGTTCAGGGACTAAAAGGTGAGAGTGGGGAGGGAAAAATAAGGAAAGAAGAAAAATAACTCTGGTAGCAGATAGTGCCCAGGGCCCAGACCATGGCAATTACTGATGTTTTCTCTGCACCCTTGCAGCCAGTCCCCCCCATAAAATTCATTTCGGCTTTTCAGTATTTTTCCACAAAGCTAGTTCTCAAGCATCTTTGCCATCATTTAAAATGAGGCTTCGTTCTGAGGAGGCACTCAACGCTGTCACAGAAGGTCCTTCACAGATGTCCGTTGTTTGATCAATCGCGATAGTGCCAAGCAACCATATTACAATGCCACTGTGACCCAAAGCAACAAACAGAAAGCTCCACAAGCAGAGGTTGTTCTAGAAAAGTCTATGCCTGTGACTTAGGCTTTAAAGCTAAATTTCTACCACCAGAGTAGTAATTTTACAATCTATCCATTAGAAGTCCAGCTGTACTGCTGTTTTTGTTTTAATTGTGAGAGATTGATGCACACATCGCCTTAAACACAGGATATAATGGCAACTACCAGATGGATGTTTATGTGATCAAATCACTCATGCAAAGAAGAATCTCTCTTTAAATTAACAATTCAATTTAAAATTGAATATATTTCTTGAAAAATGTATTGCCTGTAATACTGAAGCCAAAAAAGTATGCAGCACTCTGTGAAATTCCTCTCCTCTCTGATAAGTAGGGATTTAGAAAAAATTCATTGAACAATGAGATTGTTAAAATTCAATAAATTAACAAAATTTATTAACATGGAGATTTCTGTGGATAGCAAACATTTGCTAAGTGGGGTGAGATGTAAATATAATGTGGTAAGCAATCTTACATCTCTTTTAGAGACTGATAATTGAATAATGTTTACTGTTTTGTCGTACATGCCAGGACCTGTTTCCACTGCCTCAGTCACACATAGCACTTAATGCACAGAGATACCCAGTACTTCATCTGGTACTTACATGCATATATATACATGGTATGTCTATGGTACTTACACACATAATGTTTATACATATAGATTAGGTTCTATTGAAATGCTCTTAAAACTACACTTTGACTTTGTGTTAAAATAAAATCTACACTAGTCTCTGGACTTTGGCATGTTCTATATGCAACTTTGATTTCTTTGTTTTTGGGGACATCTGAATCTTGATACCTTGATCTGTGGGGGTCTCTGTGGCACCAAGGATTTTGACCTGTAGCTGCTCCATGATAAGTGATTATTTTGGTTCAGGGAGTGAGTCTGAATTCTGAATGAAGAGGGCAAAAATCACCACATCTCCTCCTGGTCACCAGAATGATGTATGTGTGCGCAAGGAAGAGTATTCTGACGGATGAGCACACCCACTGACTGGTCAGACCTTCCGCCGTCCTTGCAATTTCCAACTTCTTTCCAGTTCTAAGCCAAAGAACTACATTGGCCTCTAAGAGCCCAGGTTTGAACTCACTGTCCCTGTTGACAGGACCTGTCAATTAACATATATGCCAGCTCCAAAGGGTCCCCAATCAGCTAACCCCACCTGACATAATTTAAAACGTTTTGATGTAACTAGAAAGACATCAAAATGCAATAGAATGAATTCTTCATCTGTGTTCCCTTTTCCACTTTATTCTTAGCAATCATCATGATGTATTATTGATGATAATTTATGTGTATACTTCCCTATACAGATTCTAAGCCTATCTTGGGCAGGTGATAGTGATTCATTAATCTTCACATCACCAGCATGTAGAGCGCCTAGACATAGAGTATAATATAAATAAATGCTTCTGTTCAAATAAATCAAATGGCAACAGGTGTTTTGATGATCCAAACCTTATTTCATAATGTAAATAATTCTGTGCCTTCACAAGTAAAAATCTGCAAAAAAAATTCTCTACAGATATATCAGTTGCACATATGTCAGAACCAAAAACACCATTATGGATGGTTTATGAATCTGCATAATAGAAAATTATGATCCTGAGTATACCATTTGACTTTAGATATTTGCACTGCCATCATGAAACACTAATGCAATTTAATTGTGCATTTGCAATAAATCCGGAGAATCACAAATAATAAGGAAAAGTGATATGGAATTCAATATTTCTGGCCATTTAGTTTTTAGAGCTCATATGAGTATGAGCTATTTATATTACTCAAAAATATCAACTTATCAAACTCACTTTTAACTCACTGTTAAAGGAATTGAGTGAAGAAACAAAATTATGTGCATTATGATGTTATAAGTACTTTAATGGAAGAAACAGAAACAAAATGTATATGGTTTGCAGTAGGTTGACATAAAAATACACAAACTACAACTGCTACTAAAAGATACTTAAAAATCCAAAAACTGTTTATCCAAAAACATCTTGTCTACAGCAGGAACTATATGTCTCTTGGCTTTAGGATAAAACAATTACAAAACAATCTAAATTTCCCAAAGTCAACTTTGGATTTAATTCTAGTTTTATCAATTGTGGCATCGTCTATAAAAGCTATTTGCAATATGATATATTTGATTGACTCAAATATAATTTTTCTAAGACTAACTGAAATGGAACCAGAGAAGAGAAAACTTCAGCTAAATTTAATTGTTTACACAGATAATTACCATAGCTACCAACACATGCTTATTGTATAGCTGCTCAGACTACTGGGGAAATATGCTTACTGGGAATGAGATGAGTTGCTTGGGAACCATTGAAACAAAGCTGTAACAGGGAACCAAAACCACAAAGGTCCTTTCCTTACTTCATTTTTCCTTCCTTTTGGAAAAGCCTGAAACTGTCAAATCTGTCATGTTCTAACATTTTCACACAAAATTTGTTACATTCAGTTTTGATCAGAATGAACAACGTTATTTTACCTGACACTGGGAGAAAGAGCGAGCTATCAGATATTAAATAGTACCAGAGGAAATATTCAGATTTAAAGAAGTGTGAAAGTTAAAGCAGCATCTCCCTAGGCGTCTGGCGGGCACATGCAGTGCCTAAGGACACTCGCTCCGAGGAGCTCCCTTACCTGTTGTTCTTCCTGCAGTTCCGACTGCGATGCCTTGACATTGGGACCTTGAGACTCTGCACTTACTCTGTTTTTTCCTTCCAGGAGCTCTTCCAGTTCTTTCACCTGGACTTTGAGCCTCCTATTTTCTCTCTCCAGTCCTTGTTTGTCTGTTTCCAGGATCTCCCTCTTGTCCCACTCGGAGGTGTTTTCAGCCTGCAATCTCTCCAGCTAAACACAGAAGAAACAAAGAGGCAGCAGGTAGCACTTGTAACTGACACAAGGCAGCACGCCCAGCAGTCAGGCCCCCACCCAGGAAGGTCCAGGGATGTGTGCAGTTAGACTGTGTTTAAAAAAGAAATTCTATTTGTCTGAAAATTCAAGCACACAAAGGTCCTAAGGCCAGGCCACACCTGAGCTAAAGAAGCCTCGTCTCCTGCTTCATTCGCTTGTCCACCTCTACAACCATATGGACCATATCTGTTAAATAAATACGTTAAGTGCAAAACAGATGGTATTTTTACCAACAATCTCTACTCAACTGATGAACACTTGTCAGTTGAGAAGGCACAGAATCATTTCTGGGAAATTTTTGATTGGATGGATATAGTTCATGTATTCATTCACCATACCTTTCAAGTTCCAGGCACTGTACTAGTCACTGAAAATAAAGACAAGTGAATGCAATAAACTATTATAAATTTCATGATTAGAGTACTGTAAAATATGTTAGATTCTCTTGGAGAGATACTTATAATTATCCATAACCAGAACCTACCTCTAGAAGTTTAGATTCAATTGACTGAGAATAATTTTAATAGCTCCCTTAGTCAGTTTTTATTACTTTAACTTTTTATGTTTATATTTTTAAAAGGTAATATAGAATGTGTTTATTTTCTACAGGTTTATTTCGTTCAAATGTTTGTCTATTTTAATAATGAGGTTGATTTTTTTTTTCTTGTTCTGGGTTTTCTAAGTAGAACTGATCATTAACTTCTGAGCTCTAAATTTGAGTCCTGAACTCTGAATTCTAATCCTGACTTCACCATTTATTCTGTAGATAAGCTCAGTCAGGTAACTAAATCTCCCCAGTGTGGATCATTTATTCTCTGGTGTGACAGGGTTTGTGGGAAGTAAAATTAATTACATTGACAGGAAAGCTTTGTGTATCATAGCTGCTACTTAGAAGAGAAACACTGTGGTGATATGATTTCAGAAAAAGAACTGTATATGTATTTCTCCCATGTACACATACTGGACACATATACCCCAAAAGTCAAAGGAAACTATACACATAAATCTATACACTGCAGTTACTCTTCACAGTAGAAAAGCCAGCGGAATCTAGCCTGGTTCTGGCGCTTACTCACTGGCTGATTCTGAGCAGGACACTCTTTCTGTGCCTCAGTTTTCCAACTGAAATTAGGATGAGACCGCCAGACCCACTAAAGTGGTAGTATTATAAGGCCTGGGGGAGAGAAATTATTGAAAATGTCTTGTAAACTATGTAACATGATGAAAATATGAGGCATTTAAAAACTATTTGCTAAGGATAAAAAAATGGAAAATACTTATTTTTACATCGTTCATTTTTAATGGCTTGATTGCAAAGTACTGAGTGGTATATGCTGTTATAAAGTACTTTTCTATGACATTTTAAATACTAAAAGAAAAATCAACTTAGTCAACATTAATAAAAATGTGACCGTTCAAAAATATCATTGGAAATAAGTTTTTTGATTGAAAACGCCTAAAAACTGCTTTTTCATATAAATATACACATATATTTTATATATCTACATATATATAATTGCATAGTTGTTGGAGAAAATCTTCTGTTCCCAAATCTAAAGGAGGCTAGGCTTCTAAAAAGACAGGAAACCAAAATTACATTCTTGGCACTAGACCTGGTTATCAATTAATTATAATAAACTAAAGGATCAAATTTTAAATGACACAATTTGACATTTGGGATGCCTGTTTGGGGATATGAGGTGAAAACAGTATTTCACAATCTAATTTAGAGCATGACATTACTTTAATTACTAAGATTAATGCTTAAACTTTTGGACCATCATCACATTACTTATCAGAATGAAAATAATAAAACTGTAACAAAAACCCATCAACTTAGTGATAAAATATTAATTTTAGGAGAATAAATGTATTTTTGGCCAAGGTCAAATATAATATTATGTCAAGTCTTTGTAAAATTATAGGCATTTAAAAGAACTCACTAAATGAATTTTATATCTAATAACAGATAGTAGGTATAACTAAGATTTTAAATAAGAAATAGGTGTTTTTTATGAATAAATTCTAATTCTTTAAAAAAAATTAAAGGAATGATTTTAACAGTTGTAACAACAAATCTCAAATAATGATATCTGATAATTAACTATTTGCAGTTTCCTTATTGGCATACTAATCATTTGATAAATTAATGTATGTAACACATCAAAAAGAAAATGTTCTGTAGAAATTGGAACATCATAAATATCATAAGCAGCTTTTTTCTTTATTTTAAAAAATTATTATATGATCAGTCTTCCGAAGAATTATATGAAAACCCACTACCTTAAAAGCCATTCAATTGAGTGCAAGTTAAAATGATTAATAAAGGTACAATTTTAAGCTTTCAGGATTTATTGCAAACAATGCAATTAAAGGAATGATTTTAACAGTTGTAACAACAAATCTCAAATAATGATATCTGATAATTAACTATTTGCAGTTTCCTTATTGGCATACTAATCATTTGATAAATTAATGTATGTAACACATCAAAAAGAAAATATTCTGTAGAAATTGGAACATCATAAATATCATAAGCAGCTTTTTTCTTTATTTTAAAAAATTATTATATGATCAGTCTTCCGAAGAATTATATGAAAACCCACTACCTTAAAAGCCATTCAATTGAGTGCAAGTTAAAATGATTAATAAAGGTACAATTTTAAGCTTTCAGGATTTATTGCAAACAATGCTAATAATCATATTAAATGGAAATGGAATTCCACTGATTTGCTTCCAAGAAAAAAATCCTAAGGTATTTTAATTGTAACTCTAATACACTATGAATTTTAACTAATAATGGGTACTAGTGTTAAATGAATATCAGGTAATACAGGAATTATTGAAAAATATTTTCTAAACTATTTAACATAAAAGTACATTCTAATCAGAGTACTCTCTAAATTTCAGTTGATTTAATGACTTCCAATTTTATGCATATTAAACACTGAGAAAAAAATATACCCAACTATCCACCTGTTTGACAACAAATATGTACTGAATATCTTTTATATAAGAGGGACTGAATATGCCATTGCCAAATTACAAATAAATATATATTACAAATTGGACAAGTTCACATAAAGTAGGAGGACCCCTGGGTGCTGTGAGATTGGCCTGCAATAAATTAGATAATCAAAGAAGGTTATTTAATAAAACAATATTTAAGCCGAAACCGAAGTTTAAGAAGGCAGAATCAAGATTACAGCATCCAAATAAAGGAAGCAGGAAATAGGTTTGAATGTTTTAAGAGCCAAGAGTCCAGTCATGAAGTGTCAGGAACTGGGAGAGTATGGGATGAAAGGAGACTGGACAGGCAGGAACTGGTTCTCCAAAGTGTGCGTGTCAGATCATTTGAGTGGCTTGTGTAAAATGTAGTATTGTGATTATTCTTAAGGATAGAATATGCGGTTATTGCTAAGCATTTCCATCTATTAATTTGACCTTCATCGACTGTCATTGTTTGGTACTGTTGAAAGATTCTAATCAATGTGATCACTGGAATATAAGTCAATGAAACCAGAACCGTGTCACTTCGCTCATTAGTCTGGGACTTGATCTGTGCTATGTAAGCGTTCCAAAAATACCTGTTGAATGAGTATGAAAGTACTAATGGTATTCTCCAGGAAAAAAAGCTCTCTGTACTTCAGTTATAACAATTAGACACAAAGCAAAATTAGGGTAGAATCCCAGAGGAGCCAGTAATTGAATTTACTGTTGCCCAACGCCCATAAGATGCTCCGCATGCCCACCCTGGGTCCTTCCCCCTCTTGTCGCAGCTCCATGCCATTTGGTGGCAGGTGAAGGCAGTGAGGTAAAAAGACAATTTTCAGTAAAATAAGCTGGAGTTGAGTCCCAGTTCTTTCTATCCTGAAAGCATCCACTTTTCATTTATAAAATACAGAAAATATTTCCTACAGCTTAGTGTTATGGGCAGAAATTATATTACTTAGGGGAAATATTTATTAAACTTCCTAACTCAACACAAATATTTCTCCTCATACATTTGTTTTCTGAAGAACAAAACATATCAACAGCCCAGTAAACTATGACAGATGCAAACAGTGTTTTAATTTTTCATCATGCTTTATCCAGACGACAATCGTTTTGTAAATGTAAGTCATCTTGTTAAGTGAGAAAAACCCCAACAGAATGCATTATGTGGTATTCTGCAGGCTGCTGGGGAGTCACCTAAAACCAATGTGGACGTTCCAATAATGGACTTGCAAATATCCATTTGCAAAAACCTCGTTACAAATACTACAATTTTGGAAGAGGCGAAGGGCAGGAAGGTTGCTATTTTCTAGCAGTGAGAGATTATTACTCTTTTACTGAGGACCTAAAATAGTGCTAGTAAAGTGCGGTATTGGTTATCTCTAATCTTTACAATAATCCTGTACGTTAGTACTTGCTGCCATAAGGAAACTGGGGTTCTAAGAGGAGAAATAAGTTTCAAGGTGGGCAGTGAGTACAAGCCGTGGGTTGCCTAAATTTCCTAATTCCAATACTGAGTTCATTTCACACATTCAATACGAACTGTAGCTTTGCTTTTTGTTGAACTGTCTGGAATCTGGAGGGGAATGTTAAATGGAAAGTGATAGTAAGTTCTAATATTTCATCATTAAGTAACATATTTGCTCTAAAATTTTACTACACTATTAGGTTGTAAAAGTCCACTTTGTTTCCTAGTGTGCTAAAATGTCTTCCCTGTAATCACAATGTTATCATGAATTGAGTTGTGGCAATGTTTTTATGTAGCCTTTGAGATAGCCACTTCATTCATTTTTTCTTTTACTCTATTTAGTGTGCTGACTTACTTAATAGATGATCTAATGTTATGGAATACCTTCCATTCCTGGGACAAATCAATTGTTTTTATTCACTATGAGACTAAGAGTACTTGTATTTTAATATTTTTGCCACTGTATTTATGTGTG